AAAAGCATTTTCCCACAGGAAGGATTCTTTATAATTAATTCCAAAATCTTATTTCAAATTTTCAAAGTTAACTTTCTGAAATCAAAGTTTTAATCATCCTTTTGCTCTTTATTCAATAACAACAACAATTTTAAGTCCTTAAACTTGTATTTAAAAACTTATTTTGCTAAGGATTGAAGGAAATTCACCCAGTGCTGTAAACCTTGTTGATCCAAAGGTTCTTAATAGCTGAAAAGCAGTTAACAATCAATTTCTGGAAGTGATTAGAAAAGGAAGTATGCAAACCCAGTGTCCTTAAAGGTGCCAACTGCAGTTTGAGCAAGATGGCTATTCCCTCATCTCCCAGTGCTCTAAACCCACCGGAGACCGCTGTCTTGTGGTCTCCTCATGAGGAGCAACTGTCTGGAGCACTTGTGGGTGATTGCATGTCCTCTCCTTGTCCAGAGAGGAATTATCGAAGAGCTGGTCTACTCACTGGATCTTCATTCCACCGCAGTCATCGGCTTCACTTTTCACAGTCTAATCTGTTTCCCAGTAGTTTTGATAGGACAGAATCACACTAATTGAGTCAAGATCCCAATTTTGGACTTCAAACATCCTTACACACTTTCTGTAAAATCACTCCTTATCCCATAAGTTCTTCTTCAAAGCCCTGGAAGGTCTTTATGGCATCACTTGGCCGTGTCTTCTTGGTCAGGCAGACAGAAGTGGCTGCAGCTTGGACATAGCAATCTATCAGCATTTGTGATGTGTGTTTGTGCTGCCAAGCTTTTGCGGTAAGATCTGTAATGAAAGCGTTTGCCTTTTCAATCACTTTTCCTTTCCAGTTCTTTTTTGAAAACAAAGTAGGCAAAATGGGTAAATTAACTGGGTTTTCCCTATAGCATCACTAGCTTGGTAGAGTTAGGTTAAACTTTTGCATAACTGGGTTGGGTTTGGCTGTTAAATGATCTGGGGGTGAGTTGACCGGCTTAATTCTTGTTATTCTCACAACATATTAATATACACACTCCATTAACCCAGTTCAGTGTGCTGTGGGAACCAGGTCTATGCCACTGTCACTTTTCCTCATGCTTGCACACAGTCAGGATTTGAGGAAGAAGGGGTGCTATAAACCTGAAGTCAACATCCATGAGAAAAAGATGATCTGGGATTGTTCGGGGGAATAAAGTCTTCACACATTGTGCAAAATGATATTAATCAACGAGACAGCAGAACATTCCAAATTCAGCAGTAGCAAAAGAGATAGGAGGTACTGTCACGGGTTAGGATGGTATAATGCATTCTGGAGGCAGGTGTTGGTTTCCAAAGCACAAGGGGTCAGCCCCACCTGGTAGACCAGACCAGGAATCAACTCCACACGAAGACTAAAACTACTTTGACTGAGGTTAGCTCTAATGACAGAAACTTACAAGTCTGATTGTGCTGTACTTCCTTCCCCTTCTTATACCCCTGTGAATTATGGAGGCATCTGCCTGAGTCACTTCTGAATATTAT